CCGAAATCTTGTCCTTTACATTTCAACATAAAGTGTAACAGCCAGTACTTCAGGCTGAGCAGCGGTGAGGGCCGTGGAGGATGAGAAGGTTCAGCAGGACTCTGGTGAATGTTTCTGTCATCATGAGGCAGAAAAGCCTCAGCCAGACGGGCAGCAGGTCCAGCTGATCTCACACACACACACACACACACACACACACACACACACACACACACACACACACACACACACACACACACACACACACACACACACACACACACACACACACACACACACACACACACACACACACACACACACACACACACACACACAGCGTCTTCATCTCATCTGGATAAACCAGCTGCATGAGCTCAGACCGCAGTAGACTTCTACCATCCTAACCCTGGAAGCATCGAGCGGCGCGGAACGCCAGCAGATCGGTTTATTGGCAAGCGTCATGTAGTCCAGTACACACTGGGAGAGTCTCGGCTGCAGAACGGCTTCCTTGCTGTGCTCCTAGCTGGACCTGCGACATCACAAGATCACTTGTCTTCAAAGGTCACGGATTGTTTGTGCAATCCACCATTAAACCAAAAGGAAGGTAATGACGTTTGATGTCAGATATGATGTAGTTCCTCTCCACTGCCAGGATTAAAGCCATGAACATGCTTTTCGTGAACGAGGGAGTAAATAAGTTGTTACGTCACACATAAACTACTTACAGTATATATGAAACTGCACTGCCGCAGTACTTTTATTTTGAAAATTACTGAGGACTGTACACTGAAATCGTGTGTGACTTCCTGTCTAGACCTATGTTAACTGTGGAACCGTGTGAACGCATCCCAGAAGTGTGTGACAAAGCCGATCCTGTCTTTAGCGGTGCAGCGTGGCGTGACGCTTCTGAGGCTCGTCTGAAAATACGTAACGCGGCTGGTTCGAAACACCTCAGACTACGATGGATTCGATTTGAATCAGCGACGCTCCACTGCCGCGCTGCGCTGTGTGAAATAGGGCAAAGTAACTCTAACCTCTGAAAATCCTAGTTGGACCCAAAACATGAATACGTAGACTCCCCATTGGGTGCTGGAGAGAGCAACAGCATAGCCGCCATAGTGGATGGGTTCCTCACTCTCTAAACCCAACTGGGCTTAAAGCAGAGTGAGCAACTATGCCTGTTTGTTGTGCAGCCTACACCCGTGGAAAACGGATCACTTGGACTTTTCCAGCCTACCTGTTGGAATTTTATAATTACATTTATTTAATTGAATAATATTTTAATTGTATTATCCTGTCATTCTGCACATCTGACTTTGGGAAAAAGCATCAATGCAGCCAGTCAGGGGATGGGTGGGCGTGGCCAGCTCCAGCTTGTTTCCTTAAAGGTACAGAGCCGTGGAGCGACTCATTCAGGAAGGTACTGAAACTGCTAAGAACAAAAGAGCAGAGATTGTTGGATTTTGTGTACAGAACTTCATGAAAATGTTTTCCTTTATGTTTATTCATGCTTATGTTTATTTACCTGGCAGACACTTTTATCCAAAGCGACTTACAGTTTATAACCTGTAGGGCGTGTTGTGATCTGTGGGGGAAACCGGAGTACCCGGAGGAAACCCACGCATGCATGGGGAGAACACGCAACTCCACGCAGAAAGGCTGCAGCCGAGCCGAGTTTCGAACCTGCGACCTTCGTGCTGCGAGGCAACAGTGCTAACCGCTGCGCCACCATGCAGCCATATCAACAACAGACCCGTCATGACTGAAGTAAAAAGTTTAAATTCAGAACAAGATTTAACAAATGAAGCTGGATTTTATTTATGAGAGCAGTTCTAGTTCACCCTAACCACAGCTCCTATTCATTTAACTGTCTATGATATGCACGTACGTGTGTGTGTTTGTATGTGATTTTTGTCCATGTGTCCGTTAGGCGATGAATGAGAATCCACTCTATCTCTAATGATGATAAAATATGTCTTTAATGGGCGTGTGTGTGTGTGTGTGGGGGGGGGGGGGGTACTTTAGTCAACTGGCAGTTGTTAAAGATGCGGTTGTGTGTTGAATACCGAGCCAGTTGTGCTTGTGTGTTTAATTGGACCTCCCTGAGCCAGTCTCCAGGTGACAGAACTCATCTGCTCTGCCTCTGATTAAGAACAACAGATGGACTAGGAAAACACGCACGCACGCACGCACGCACGCACGCACGCACGCACGCACGCACACACACACACACACACACACACACACACACACACACACACACACACACACACACACACACACACACACACACACACACACACACACACACACACACACACACACACACACACACACACACACACACACACACACACACACACACACACACACACACACCCTGATCACCCATCCATGCATCAGCAGAACTTTGCTCCACAGTCTCTCTTTGCTCATCTTCATCATTTTCACCTTCCTCATCATCTCTCATCCTCCCTCCTTAACCCCACACGTGTCTGACACACAGGGATCGTGAACTCATGATCCCTGTGTGTCCCTCTTGGTCACATCAGGACAATCTCCGACGTAAACGCTTACAGGCAGCATCACATTCAGAAAGAAACCAAACAGGCCACAAAACACGTCTCCAAGGCCCACAGATGGCCCACAGGCTGCACTTTGAACACCCCGGATATAAACTTCATTTACAAGCACTTTTTATTTTCTAGTTCTGATCTTAAAGGTCAAAGACATGAAGGATTCAATTCAAGTTTATTTATAAAGCGCCAAATCACGACAAGAGTCGTCTCAAGGCACTTCACATAATAAACATTCCAATTCAGGTCAGTTCATTAAGCCAATCAGAAATAATGTTTCCTATATAAGGAACCCAGCAAATTGCATCGAGTCACTGACTAGTGTCAGTGACTATACAGCAATCCTCAAACTAAGCAAGCATGCAGCGACAGTGGAGAGGAAAACTCCCTTTTAAAAGGAAGAAACCTCCAGAGAATCCTGGCTCAGTATAAGCAGCCATCCTCCACGACTCACTGGGCATCGAGAACGCACACACACACACACACACACACACACACACACACACACACACACACACACACACACACACACACACACACACACACACACACACACACACACACACACACACACACACACACACACACACAAAGACAAAGTAATGTGTCTACAGTTATATTGTGATTTCTTAGTAAATATTCTATTTGGTGAGAGATAAACTTTATAGTATTTATCCTAGTGGATCTATAATTAAACGGGTAAACTAGTAGTAGCACATCCAACGTCAAGGAAAGCAAAAAGTTATTATCAGGAGAGGGAGAATGTTTAAGTGGTTCGCAGCAGTGTGCTAGTCGATGGCCCCCTCCATGAGGCCACCACAGCTCAGCAGAACATCGTTGTAGCTTCTTCTGGGGAGAAAAACACTTAGAGAGAAAATAAAGTTAACAGCTGAAATAGCAGGAAATAATACAGTTAAAGAGCAGACTGTAGAAGAAAGCAGTAGAGTGTGGAAAGTGGTCAGTGTCCTCCAGCAGTCTAAGCCTATAGCAGCATAACTACAGAGATAACTCTGGATAATCTATCCTATTTAGATGGAGGCATGTTGGAGGCAGGGCAAGGGAGAGCCGTCTTTACCGACTGTAAACTCCACCTCCCTCTACTCCCCCACTTGTCCAGATCTAGGCTAACATCAGATTTTAACCACAGGCCCTATCAAATAAAAATGTTTTAAGCCTATTCTTAAAAGTAGACAAGGTGTCTACCTCAGGGACTAAGGCTGGGAGCTGGTTCCACAGGAGAGGAGCCTGATAACTAAAAGATCTGCCTCCCATCCTAATTTTAGATATTCTGGGAACCACCAGAAGACCTGCAGTCTGAGAGCAAAGTGCTCGGTTAGGAACGCATGGAACAATCAGATCACTGATGTATGATGGAGCTTGATTATTAAGAGCTTTATATGTGAGAAGAAGGATCTTAAAATCTATTCTGAATTTAACAGGTAGCCAATGTAGGGAAGCTAAGACAGGAGAGATATGATCTCTCTTTTTAATTCTCATCAGAACTCTAGCTGCAGCATTTTGGACAAGCTGAAGACTTTTAACTACATTCTGTGGACTTCCTGAGAGTAATGGATTACAGTAATCCAGTCTTGATGTAATAAATGCATGAACTAGTTTTTCAGCATCACTCCTGGAAAGTATGCTTCTAATCTTAGCAATATTCCGAAGGTGGAAAAAGGAAATCCTACAAACCTGTTGAACCTGGGATTTGAATGACATGTCCTGGTCAAAGATAACACCAAGGTTCCTTACTTTGTTCTCAGAGATTAATGTAATGTCATTCAGGTCAGGCGATTGGCTAAGCAATTTCCTTTTCTGGATTTCTGGTCCAAAGGATTGAATACAAGTAATCTAATTACATTAGAACAGTTATAATATCCTGCAGGAGATGAGGTGAGTGAGCCTGGCGTGACCCCAGGAGCATTTATTGCTCCATCCTCGTGGATCTGGTGGCTAGGCTACCGTAACAGTCTCTGCCTTCAGGGCTATGCTAATGATCATTACTGAGCTCAGCACGCCTTTAAAATTCATGTCATCAGAAACCCGGGGGGGGGGGGGGGGGGGGGCTCCCCAAAAATCCTGAACAATGGGGCGAAATTAAAGATGCATGTTTAACATTCAGATAACTGAATCAGTTCAATGAGTGCTTAAAAAACATAAAAATCATAATTTTCATTCTTATCTCAACAAAACATGGAGGATTGGGGGTGGGGGGGGGGGGTAGAGAGAGAAAGAAAGAGAAAAAGGGGGTGATAACAGCTTCAATAAATCATCCGGGCCAGTCGCCGCTCCCAGGGGATGCGGGATGGATTAAATTAAGCACTCTCTCCACCCACGTGTCTATCCATCCATCTATCCATCCCTCCATCCTCAGTCTCTCTCTCTCCCTTGCTCCGTCCCTGTTGCGCGCGTGCACTGCGCCTTATAAAAGCCAACAGCTGA